CCACGCGGGAGCCGGGCGAGGGGGGAGGGGGGGAATGGCCGACAAACTAACTTTGGGGGCTGGTAGTCGCCTTTGAACCCTGCCTGGTCCCCAGTGGCTGGAGGGAAATAACGCTGTCATCTCGGGGAGGGGGGGAAGGTGTAGGGAAAAAGGGTCGACAGGCTGAGTATTTAATCACACCCCCCCGCGAAGACGGACGGTTCTTGCTTAGGGGGGGAGAGGTACAGCAGCGTCGAAGGGCTGTTGAATAGGTGCAGAGGATTCATGAAGTGAAAACCAAAGAGGTTCGACTGAAAAATAAAATTTGCGCTTACAACGTTGAGGCTGTGCAGCTGTTAGAGCTAAGCAGCACCGGTTACCCCGTTTCTTTCAAGCGTGGCTGCCTTTGCGGAAGGGGTGTTTCAGCAGGGCAAGCATTGGTGGAGGCATTGGCTTAACGGTGAAGGAGCTGAGTATCCTCTATCTGACAGCTTGCAAGCTAAGCGAAGGGCGTAACAGAGTAGGAAAGTAAACATATATTGAGTCTTTAAAATTAAATATTGCCATTAGAATTACTATCTTGCCTACGCTGCGAGCAGAGGCATTGCTGGTTTGCTTGGAGGCAGCTGAGCTAGCTGGAAGCTAACTGGCTTCGTTGCCAAAAAACAGTTTATGGTGGCTGCATAGTACTGTCCAGCCACCTGATTGATTAGTCGCCATCCCAGGCCCACAGTAACCTCTGTACTGTTGGGTTTACGTGGCTGTTGAGTCCGAGAATGGTGAGCTAAAAACAGTGTTTCTCAACCCTGAGAGTAGCACAGTGCAGGTAACTAAATATTGTTTTCTGTTGAATAAAAGTATGATAAGCGTTTGTCAACAGAAGGAATTTTGTAGCGTTTAAGAAAAATTTGAAGAATAAATTTCACAACTAGCCTCAAAATCTGTTTTGGTAAAATTTATACCTCCAACTAAGTTGGCAGTTTGTTTCAGTTGCTGAGCAGTCATTGTTATTCCAAGATCAGGAAGGCTATATGGGAAGACCCACAGGAACACTGCTTTGAACGGCATTTTAGTTTAGATTGAAGGAAAGCTCTTTTCCCAGCATGTCTCTTAATATGTGATTTATCATACAACAATCATGAAAATGAGGGGAAATAAATTATTTATATTGCTTTAGAGAATGTGAGTGCCACGTGGATGATCAAAACAAGTTTGAGTGCTGATACATATTTATATTCAAACGTATGGCATCAGTATAAAGGTGATGGCAAAAATACAGCTGTTTTATCTAGCCATTGAATTGCGCTGCATTACAAGTATCATGGTCCCGTAGAAGGGGTGCTGAGGTTCAATTTATAGAGATCTCTTGCCCTACATTAGCAACTACTACTGATGAGAATTGCAAGTTTTTTTCCCTTGCCTCTTACCACCCCAAAGAAGTCCTCTGCTGCTCTGTGGTTTTGGGTCTGAGCCCCTTATGAACTTTTTAACTATGACCTAATCTCAGCTGACCTGACTGCCCTTCTTTGTTTTATTTCTTCACCTTTCTGACTTGTGCAGCGGTGGCAGATCCTGAATAAATTCTGTTCACTTCCTCTTTCCATTTTCCTTTTTTTGTGTCTCGTTTACACCAGAGAACAGATTCTGATGATGAGTAAGGAGATACTGAGAGCAGGAGCAGGTTTTGGCAAAGTTGCCCTTAAGCTAAAATAATAAATTTCTCTACCAGACATTGGCTTTCACTACAGATTATTTTATTTCCCTTCTGAAGCAGGCTGACTGTGGGGAAGGCAGTGAGTGCTGTATTGCAAGAGTAACAGTGGTGGAAGCAAATGTTCTCAGGCTCTTCTTGGAGAGGGTGCAATTGGTGGCATGACCTTCAGTTGAAAGAAGCCGTCCTCTTACTGAGAGCCTTCTTTGGACCTATGTAGTAACATCCCAGGCTAAGCTTTGTTACTCATGGGGCATGCTGTATAATATATGTAATGCTGCTATTGGGTTTAAACAATTGAAGTAGACAGGATTTGAGAAGGCTGAACCTCTAACCTGTCCTTGAGAGGTTATTGTGTTCTTGCTAGCGTTATTCCTTGCATTCCTGCAGACACTCAGAGCCAGATGCATCAAACGCTTGCTCTGTTTCCTTGGTAACTTCAAAACTTAAATGGCAGCAAATTCAAAAGATTGGGGAAGGGGTGAAGACATGCACATTTATCCTGTGAATCTCAGGTATCTTTCTCTCAAAATCAGCTAAATTTGCAGTTTTGGAACACTGTGGGCCTGCGTAAGCGAGTCATTGCCACGTGTGGCTTTTGGGAGAAACCTGCAGCTTCGGGGGTTTGAGGGTGGGATCTAGGGTTTGCCAAGAAGTAGCCCAATTGACTGGTGTCTTTTGTAGCATTCAGGTGACACTGGGCACTCCAGGCTCTCTCCCCAGCTTCTCTTGTGTGGGAATACCTCACTGCAGAACCAAATATTTTGTGCATTGAAGTTCCATTAACAGATGGTAATAAACATTACCAAAATAACTGATTGTTAATTAAAAGGAAAGAAGAGCTAAGGGAAGAGAAATGGAGTTAGGAATGCTCCATTTCTATTTAGGGAGTAAAAAAAAACGGCTCTTGTAAACAGTCTGTAGGCACTTGTTCACATCTGGATGTTTCTGTTGTCCATCGTACTGCCAACAGCTAATAGTTTTTACATCCTACAGTTATGGTCAGGTCAGGTTTAATGACCACATGAATCTCACTCTTACAATTTAAAAATTGAAAGCAGAGATATTTTTTTAAAATTATTTAAATTTAAATTTTAAATTATTATTGCTCATGATTCTAAGGAATATTGCTTCCTTAACAGTAGTCATTTAACAGTGCTCAGAATTCAAGTTATGGTTTATGTATCGTATGTGGTTATATGCTACAGTTGAAAGAAACGTGATATGCACCAGAGAAATCTGTAAGCACATTTCAAATACCCTGATATCTGTCTGGTAACAGATGAGAGCCAAGAGTGGTCTGAACGTTCGTGTTGCCATTACCATAACTGCTTGACTGTACGTGCATCATAATGAGCCTTTAATTTCCCTTTAATTTGTGTATTGCGGATTCATTAAGTAAATTACATCTCTTCACCCACTTTCTTTTAATTTAGTTCTTCCAATGTAATTTGTCTGACCATTTGCATATATTTTCAAAATTGATTTAATTTTTTTCTATGAATGTGTACACTCTTCATTTTCCTTTTCAAGTAGGTTAGATGGTTGAAAAGTTAGTTATGGATTACATAATATTGTGTGGGCTCTCAACACTGTAAGAAAGCTTAACTGCTGAAACACAAAATACAGAAATTCTTTGCATTTGTGTGTTTTTTCCTTTTGAACAGAATTTAAATCCTGCCCTGGAAATATCCACATTTCCAACTTATCAGATAATCCAAAGTATGACATATATTAAGAGGTACTCTGTTAAACAAAAATTACTAACAAAAGTTTCTGTTACTAACTGTGTCTAGTAAGACAAAAAAGCTCCACAAATACTATTTCTAAAATGAGGACCAGACCTAACTTTTTTTAAATGAAGTCAGAGTATTTTGTCTGACTTCAGCAGAACTACTTTCTGAGCAAGTGTTGCAGGATCAAGCCTTTTAAAACATCTTGGCCATGGGTTCTGAAACCCTTGGCCAGCAGAAATCCACAGAAATTCTGCTGCTGAACTCTGGAGCAAATACCCAACTGGAAATAATTTGGATAATTATTGGAATAACGTGTAAGTGACACCCTGATTAGCATTTAGTATTTAAAATTTTTAAAAAAGGATTATTTTAATCTTTTTGTAAGGAAAGGCTACCTTGTAAGGAACAATGAGATATTCTTTATTTGAAAAGAAGAAAGAAAGAAAAAAAAAAGTTGTTTTTGTTTGTGTTTTTGTTTGTTTTTTTCAACTGCTTTAAAAAAGAT